CTGGGGTATGTTACCATGCATTTGTGAATGGTATAGAACTAGCCCATTTGACGACATTTCCACTGGTTCATACAAATGGTTCTGTGTTCCTTTATCCAGCAGAGGGCAGCATCATTTAGAGAGGGACAATTCCACAGGCCTGCCCCTTTTTTGGTAGTTTATTCATGTGGGGTGAGGTGGGGGGAAAACAGATGCAGCAACAAGAGGAAACTTGTGACACTTTAAAGACTGTCACAACTTGCATGGCATACGTTTTTATGGATTGTATGTGAAGACCGGGGCTAATCGGTCCTCAAAAAGCTTATGCCAAATGAAACCTTTTAGGCTCTTTGTTTTTGTTGCAACAGACTGGCACAACTATGGGCCCCCTCCCCAGGAAATCATCATCATAATCATTTATTTATTTATTTATTTATTTATTTATTTATTTATTTATTTATTTATTTATTTATTTATTTATTTATTTATTTATTTATTTGGTTTCTTCGATTTCTTCGATTTATATCCTGCCCATCTGGTATATTCTACCACTCCAGGGGAACCTGGAAATCATCATAATCTTAGAACTGCAGAACTAGAAGGGCCCCTATGGATCATCAAGTCCAGCCCCCGTCAGGGAGGCACAGATGGGGGAAACTGAACTCTGATAGGAACGTGGCAGCTTTGACATTGGGCACGCATTTACCTTCTGCCTTCTCCGTTACAAACACAACCATCTTTATGTTGTGCTTGAGAAGTTTCAAAGGCTGACTTAACTGAGTGTTGATAGAAACAGGGAGCCTGATGAAATAGATCTCGTTTTCCTCTGTTGAGGTAGTTCTTAAAGGCTGCTATCAACTGTCCAACACTCTCTGTTTGAATACATCTGTACAGTGGTGCCCTGCATAGCAATGTTAATCCGTTCCAGGATTAACGTCGCTATCTGAATTCGTCGCTATGCGGGGGGCCTGGCCCTTTTTCGGTAGTTTATTCATGAGGGGTGAGGTGGGGGAAAAACAGATGCAGCAACACTCTGTTTAATGCGTTCCTATTGTGGAAAAACTCACCGGTAAGCGAAGATTCCCCCATCCGGCCGCCATTTTCACTTGCCGATAAGCCAGGGCAGGGTGCAGAAACGCTGCGAGTGGCCATTTTCTGCACCCAGTGGCCATTTTGGAACCGCCAATCAGCTGTTTTCTAAACATCGCAATGTGAAGATCAGTAAGCAAAACGTTTAACGATCATCTCAATGCAATGTTTAGCCTATCTAAACATCGCAATGCGATCGCATTAGCGAATGCAAAAAACACGTTGCTATGCGGATTTGTCGTTAAACAGTGCGCTCATTAAACGAGGCACCACTGTAGTTTGCAAAGGAAGTTATTTATTTGAAAATCACATGCTCAGTCAGGCCTTTTGTGGCTTTATCAAAATAGTATTGGACAGCAAATGTGCGGTCCTCCAGGGTCCTGAGAATTCACCCTAATGACCTATGGCAGGCCCCACTTTATCTACCTCTGCAATTAGCTCATATAAGCAGAGATGCGTCTTGGTCTGGAAAGCTCACTGTGTTCCATGTTGGTCTTGTGCAGTGACCAGAAGCAGATATACATTGGGGATGACAACCCTTTAACCCTTATCATCAATGCTGAGAACCTAGGGGAGGGAGCCTATGAAGCCGAGCTCTTTGTTACTGTCCCACCTCAAGCAGACTTCATCGGCATTGTTCGCAACAATGAGGTAAGCCTAGCCCATGAGCAGCATTATTGGCGGTGAGGAGTGTGGTGGTAGCTGCCGGGTGGGAAAATGGTGTGGAAAGCAGACCTGTATTAAGTGGCAAAAGAGTTCCAGAGCTTTCTTCTGCTTCAATGCAACCTCCTCAAGCTTTTGATTCTAGGACAACAAAAGAACATTATTGTTTATACGATGGCCTCAGATGAGTTCTCCTAAGGTAATAAAGACAGGAGACAGATAATTATATTTTGATGTCACAAAATTTAGCAACAAGCCTTTGTTCAAAGCTGGGGCTAGTGAGTGGATCATTTCCAGCTGTCCTCTATTCCTTGTCTGTAAAATGGGAAGAGCAGCTTGCCTTATGAGACTTCGGTAAAGATGAGTCGGACCACAGCTGAGAGGTGCGAATTAAAGGGGAAAAAAGGAAAGAGAAAAAACCCAAGGATAAAATATTGTGACACTTGAAAGAGTAACAGATTTGCTTTGGTGGTAGATTTTCTGATTGAAAATCTGCATTTTCAGATACATGAAAATGAGAGAGTTCTGGAAAAGTGGATTTTGACCCACAAAAAAGTTCACACTAAAACAAACCTATCAGACATGGAAGTGGCATCATATTTTGTCCCTCTCACCCTTTTTCCCCTTTAATCTTGCCGTTGTGTTGAGAGAGATTATCATGACCGCTTCTTCGGAAATTGATTTAATTATATCTCTTAGTAACATATAAGTCCTGTGTTTCCTCCAGTGAACTCATGGTGGCCTACGTTGCTCTCCTCTTCTCTACTGCATCCTCACAACAGCTCTGTAAGAGAGTTCAGGCCTAAGAAAGAGTGCCTGGCCCAGCGTCATCCAATGAGTTTCATGCCTCGGGGGACTTGATACCAGTCCCAAACCACTACAACTCTTTGACTCCTGCTGGCTGTCATACGGCTTGAGACTCCCTCCTCCACACTTCCTGCATCATCCGCGGTGACACACCCTCACCTCAAGCATATGTTCGGTGTGTCCCAAACTTTTAAGGAAGAACAGACACCGTAGCAGAATTTTATGCTTTGAGTCCCCCCTGCTGGCTTTGCAGTACTTTAAGCCTTATTATACCTTCACTGCAGACCTGAGTCATTGCAAATGTATAAACAGAATTACTATTTTCCCTTTCGATAGCTTTTCTTAGAGGATGTAGGTGGTAAAGGGGTTAATGCCCTTCCAGTAAAGTGTTGCTGATTCTGCCTTGACCTGTCACAGCGATTTGGCTTTATCCCTTGGGATGATCAGAGGGTATTCATGACTAACGTGGACCTGCCAGCTGGAGCTGTAAAGCTGGATGATCTTCATCCTGAAGAGGGCAAGAGGCGTCTGTCTAGCAAGGGTGAACAGTCTGCACATCCTGAGCCAGGCTGCTAAGACAAGCTGCCGACGTGCTTAAAGCCACACTTTTGATAATTAAATTAATTCAGACTCATCCTCTTATCACCTGGGAAAGGAACAGAACAATCCCAAGCAACGGGCACCAGTGTGTCTGGCTATCACCGTTCTTTTCCCAACATGACCCTAATAAAAGTTTGTAAAACCCATTGGGTGCCCTTGAAAATGGTACTGGAGTTAAAGCTTCTTCCTGTGAGATTTACTTCAAAATGACTTCACAATTAGTGACAGATCGTATCACTATCCTGAATGTATTATGTGAGATTTAAGAAATAACTCATACGTTCACAGATTAGGCAAAGGGCCCACCAGCTTCTTTAAAGGGGTGCTGCTCATCTAAGAGCCATTTTAGTGGGATGATTGTCATCTTAGGCATGCAGTTAGCTCTTAAACTGTCTTTATTAAAACACACACACACACACACACACACACACACACACACACACTCACACACACAAACACACAAAAACCTAAGTGGATAGCATTGAGCAGAACCTCTGACCTCTTCACAGGTGCCTTCCTACTAGAAAATAATTGGTTCTGCATACAGAGGACAACTGAGAGGCTAACTGATACTCTGTAAGCCTTTGCACATTCAAAGGGCTGCCACAGGGACAGTCCACAAATCAAGGGTTCCCCTGGAATGGGCCTGTGTTGAAGAGGAAGCAGTGGGGGAGGAGGAGAGATGAGCAGCACCGTGATTGGCTCAGCGGGTCCTTTTCCTCCTTTCTTTCTTCTTGCTCCCCTGTTCCGTGGCGGCTGCTATCTGCTTTCAGGCTTCGTTTCCGTATACAGTGGTGCCTCGCATAGCGACATTAATCAGTGCAGCAAAAATCGCTGCAAAGCGATTTCATCGCTATGCGATTTTAAAAAGCCCATAGGAATGCATTGAAACCCCTTCAGTGCATTCCTATGGGCTTAAAAATGATCTTTAAGCGAAGATCCTCCATACGGAGGCCATTTTCGCTGCCCGGTAAGCGAGGAATCCGTCCCTAAACACAGCGGGCGCCCATTTTTTTTAACCCAGCGGCCATTTTGGAACTGCTGATCAGCTGGGAGGAAATCATCACTTTGCGATAATCGGTAAGCGAAACAGGGTACTGATCATCGCAAAGCGATTTCCCCCCATTTAAAACATTGCAATGCGATCGCAAAAGCGATCACAAAAAGTTTGTCGGTATGCGATTTTGTCGTTAAACAAGGCGCCCGTTAAGCGAGGCACCACTGTACTGGGCCCTTTCGGCCAGCCCTGTGGCCTCAGGGCCTGTATTATCCTAGCTCCATGCCATGGTCATCTGCGTTGCAAAAAACAGTCCCCTGGCTGCTGGGTTCCCTTTCTCTCAAGGCCAAAGCCTTCCAATTCCAGGCATGTTTCGAGCAAGGGGGAAATGGTGGCTAAAGAGGCATGGAAGAGGAGCTGATGAGTGCAGAAAACAGGCATGAAGGATGCATCTGTAATCCCAAGCATGCTTTGCCACTAAGAAGCAGGCACATTTCACAATTGATTAAGGCATTCCTTACCTGGATATGTTCACCAAACTGGCCGTCTGCTCTCCATCATGGCTATCTACGCATGGAAAGGTACTAAGCTGTGGGGAAGACAATCCAGCTTGTGTGCAAGCTCCGCACATGAGCTGGAGCCCCAGTTTCCTAAATTTCTTGCTTGCACATACAGCCTACACATAGGCAGGAACATTTCCCATGCTAGGGAATGACTAGACAGGGCTTAAAAACTCAAAGGGATTGAAGCATTGGAAACTTCATGTGCCATTGCATAGGCTTATGGCTCTTCCCATTCCCTCCACTCTTTTCGGGGAACAGGATGTGTGTGTGTGTGTAATTTTATATTCTTGCCTCATTTGCAGAATTAGCTCGTTATAGGTGGTGACCCCCAGACTCTTCCTCATCCCTGGCCCCCGTAATAGTGTTTACTTCTTCTTTTTTAAAGAACATGATTATGTCGCTTCTTGTTGAGCCCTCAATGTGAAGAAACAAAAGGAAGGGATGGAATTTGTTACTATGCAACAGTGGGGGCAGAAGGACCTCCATGAATCATGTTCATGCCTGAAAATATATTATTGTATCAAAACCAGCTTGTGCTTTGTGAATAGAGGGAGTGTATCTAGATTTATTTTTATTTCTTGCAGTGTTGCTAGAGAATGAAACAATCTCTATAACGATGTTGCCTCCTTTACCACTGCAGGCTTTAGCAAGACTCTCGTGTGCATTTAAAACTGAGAATCAGACTCGGCTGGTTGTCTGTGACCTTGGAAATCCTATGAAAGCAGGAACAAAAGTAAGAATTAGTGAGTTGTTTGTTCGTTGCTGTTAATGAAAGCGTAGAGAACCCTCTGTGTGCCAGAAGGGGTGCTAGGTTGGGGCCAGTATTGTCTAAATAAAGAGTCAGCCTTTTTTTTGTTAGTTGGTTAAGCCTCACATCAGTTGCGTTTCCATGTCTTGATGAATTGGATTGACCCTGAATAAGCCAGCATGGTCGTGAACAGTAGTCAGGTGCTCCCACTTGGCTGCTCCTGAAACAGCTTCCATCCGTGAGATCGGAGCTGGCTACTCTGGCTTGTTTCTCACCAGGAAGCCAGAGTCATAAGCTGTTGTTGACTTGCAGGGTGTTGAGAAGAGACATACAGTGGTGCCTCGCTTGACACAGATAATTTGTTCTGTTGAAATCGCTGTTAAGCGAAATCCTCGTCAAGCAAAACGAAAAAGCCCATTGAAATGCATTGAAACCGATTCAATGCGTTACAATGGGCTAAATTCCTCAGCGTCCAGCGAAGATCCTCCATAGGAGGGGCCATTTTTGGTGCCTGTAAAGCGAGGAATCCGTCCTAAAACATGGTGGGGAGCCATTTAGCACAGCAGGCGGCCATTTTAGAGCCGCCGATCAGCTGTTCAAAAATAATCATCTAGCAAAAAATCGGTTCCCAAAGCAGGGAACCGATCATTGTCAAGCGAAATTTCCCTATCTAAACATCGTTTTGTGATCGCAAAAGCAATCACAAAAACTTCAACATCAAGTGCTTTTGTCGTTTAACCAGGTAATCGTTAAGCGAGGCACCACCAAGTGGTTTTGTTGTTTAACCAGGTAATCGTTAAGCAAGGCACCACTGTACTCAGTTCACACATTATGTTAAATAAACCATGCACGGATGTTCCAGGTTCCTTTCGTGCTCCCAGTTTCAGGGGCAGCCAAACAGGAGTGAGCAACACAGAGCAGCACGCTGGCGTGTCAATGTTTGGCAGGGCTAGGCACGGCCAACAGGCTTCTTCAGGCAACACCTCTGTTTGCTTCACACATTAAAATCCCGCGTGCCTCTACTTTCGTATTGCAGCTTTCAGCTGGTCTTCATTTCAGCGTTCACCAAGAATCGGAGATGGACACTTTTGTGAAGTTCGATCTGCAGATTTATAGGTAAGTGGCACCCGTGTGTCTACTTACCTGTCTAATAATTGTGGCTGCTGCTCAACAAGAGGCAGAAAGAGGAGGGCAGCAGTTGGTGTGATAGTGGTTGCAGTGTTTCAGAAATACACGCGGAGGGTGTTATAAATGGAATCCTACTGACAGCCTTCTCATACCTGTGGCCTTTGACAGTTTTGCCTCTGTTCTACCGTCCTTGTTCTGGACATAGGCAGCAACCGTCAGTCTCGTATAGCTCATCTCTTACTTTTAACTACACAAGCTTAGATCTTCAAACTTATCTGTCCAGATATATTTTAGAAAGAAGGTATTGATTTGCACGAGTCTGAAGTGGGAGTTGGTGAGAGAGGTGTGTGTGTGTGTGTGTGTCGGTCTGAAATGGAAGTTGATGAGAGAGGTAGGGGTGTGTGTGTCTAAGTAATAAACTGCATTCCTTTTTCAAGTGACTGATTGTCTTAGATCTAATAAAAATGAAAAAATATGGCCGGTCCACTTGGTTTCAGTATTGTCACCATTTTTGTTGCGAATGGCCTACCCGTAGCCTTTCTCTTGCTCAGGCATTTCCCTATCACCAGGGTGAAACAATGTCAGTCACAGAGTTGATATGGTGGATTTCCCTCCCACTGAAAGCAATGGCAGAAAACAGCAAGGGATAGAAAAATGGCTCTTCAAATGAATGAACAAATGAACGAACGAATGAATGAATGAATTTCTGCAGCGGCAGAGCATAGGAAAACTTTGCTCATCTGCTCGGTCTCTCTGCCCCATAAGTAATACTCTGTAAATGGACAATCAGCTGCCCTTTATAGTCCTTTCCCCAAATCTCATTGAGCACAGAGAAAGTAATTTGTCTCCACGGTGCATAATTAATTAATGAGATTTGCTGACCCTAAATGCCGTGACAGCCACTATCTTAGATGGCTTTGAAACAGGATTTGACTTAGTTCAGATTATCAAACAAGATAAAAAAAACTGAGAGAACCACTGAAAATTAATGTAAGGGAGTGGACAAAATGAACCTGTCAAGTCTAAAGAGTCAGCAAGGAGTGAAAATGATCATTTTTACCAGGGCAATATTAAGTTCTCATATAATACCACTATTAATCATAAGGGATTTAGGAGTAATACATTGGACATGTCCTTTTTGAGTGCGTTTGTCAGAATTCTGGGACTTCTGCCAATCAGGATCCCTGAATATCTTCCTGGGCAGAGGCACACAAAGATTCTGTCAGATCCACTTTAGAGGCTTTGCTCTAACAAGTGAGTAAGGGTGAGTTAAGAGGCCTTTCTGTGCCATGATGCTTGTCACCAAAGAGTGGTTTTTCTTGTTTGTAAAGGGGTCATATTCAAATAAATAATTGGTCATAGAAAATGTACGCACAAAGGGTTGTTCCTTCACTGAGATTCTGTGGATGAAGTAGAAATGATAGGACCCCAGTCCAGTCCTTCTATAGTTTCATGTTGACAATCAAATAATAGGAAAGTACGGCACCAGGATCGTCCCCAGTTTCTGTCTTCTGGGCAATATACTCTCTTTCAGTTGAGGATAAGTTACAGAGGAAGAGATATGAAGGTGTTATAAGGGGAAGCAGGGTTTTATCGAAAGCTGATATTTTAACTAATTTGAAGTATCTCTGAGGTATTGTAACTAATTTGAGTGGTATCTTCCTACCAGTCGCTATGAAACTGGGACACTTGATCCAAAGTTCTAGCATGTTTACACAGATTAATAGGAGTGCCACTGGGTTAAACATCCAGAGCAAACCAGATCAAAATGGATTGCCCCGATACTTTACAATATACTGGGAACTGAGGCATAAACAAAACAAAACCCCACCTTTTTCCATTGTCAGAGGCTCCCAGGACTTAGGGGCAGAAACAGAGACAAAGACGTGTGTCTTGTATCTTCCCTCAAGCAATAGAGATGTAGGAGTCCACAGCAGGGAATAAGAAAAAGGTTACTCCCCGGAATCCTAAATTTCTTTTTATTTTAATGTCCATGGACAGACAGAGTGTTGCGCTGCTATGAGTGCGAATTACCTAAATTATGCGACTCAGTTTTGTCACATCTCTGGGGAAATTTCTGCAAGTCGACCTTAGTCAGAGAAATCTCCTTTACGATAATAGCGAGAGGTCCTGTTGGCTGCTAGCGGAAGCATGGAGGTATCATTTCTGATGGATGTGCTCCGGATCAGAGGTTCTGGGAATGGATTTTCCAATTTATTGAATTAGGTACAATTGGGATAGTAGGGCGTCAGGATCTCCAGTGCTGTTGCAGCTACCACGAAAATTTGCTAGCAACGTATCAGCCTTCCTCTGGTGCGGGTGGAGTGGGCGGGTGCCAGACTGGCAAGGAATCGCCTTCCCTTCTGGAAAGGAGACAAAGGCTCTGTTTTGGAAATGCAGCCAAATTTCAACCCTGAAAGCGGGCAGAGGAGTTAGAAAAATGGCTGGTGGTCCTGCATGCATCTCACAAGCTGTGTGTTGCCCACCCCTCGTGTAACAGGTATTATCATGTCATCCTTCAAGTGGCACAGGAATAGAAGCTGTGCCATGTTTTTAAAGTTCTTTGGGAACATACCCTTTGTACAATCACACTATGGACTAAGCTGTTGTTGTTGTTTTAACAGCCAGCGATAATTCAGACTCCCTTTGTCAAATTCTGCTGTTTTCCAGCTCTAACCTGAACAACAATCGAAGCCCTGTGACATCTTATCAGGCGGACTTGGCCATCTTGGCAGCGGTTGAAATCAGAGGGTGAGTGCTGATCCTGACCTTGTTCTCTTTATTTTATTGTATAATCAAGCGGCTTGCACTGCAGGCTTTGCATCTAGCCTTCACCGAGTATTCCTTGTACAATTTAGGGTCTCTTCACCTGATCACATCTTCCTCCCAATTCCCAACTGGCAACCCAAGGAGAACCCAGAAACAGAGGATGACATAGGGCCTCTGGTTCAGCACATCTATGAGGTAAGTCTGAGCCCAAGGTTGTAGCCAGGAAATTATGAATGGAATTCAGGAGCTGACCTGAATTACTAAGAATCTATCCTGTAAAACCACACTGGCCGAAATCCTCTTGTGCAGTTAGTTATACTGGCAGAAGGGGAATGCTGTAATACACGGTGGCAAATTGCCACCAATTAATGAGTCCCTGCTTGGATTCCACATTGCGCTTCATTCAGATGGCTTAGTGTATGACAAGGAATCCAAGCAGAGACTTATTAACTATTGGCGATTTGCTGCTGTGACTTATGCCATTGCCCTTCCTCCAGCATAATTATGCAAGAGGATTTGGGCCATTGACTCTTGTCCTGTCTTAGTGGGTGCCTGACTTCACAATAACCCACCACGTGACAACAACCATTCATCCTGCTGGAGCTATTTCATGCCACAGGTGGTCCTGTGAATTGGGAGGAGATAATAGAGTAGGATTTTTCATTCATCATTTCAAGACAAGAGTTCCTGACTAATGCCCCACAGCTTTAAGGAAAGTAAGCGCTGTAGCTGGAAGACCTGTCTGTGCTTTAAGAGATAGCAGTGGGAAGACTGTTGAGTAGAGACGGGCATGAAGCGTGTTGCACAACACCATCTCCCACCCCCAGCAACTTACACTGCTCAGCAGTAGTGATGGGCACAAAGCACTTTGTCGTGCTTTGCACTAAGTGCGCCACATGGCACTGTCTCCCACCCACCTGGCGAGCTGACTTACTCACCGTTCTTCACGAGCCGCTGATGAACTCTTTCTCTGGTGGTACACCAGGTCTGGGCAGGAGCTCAGGTTGCCCTTCCCTGCCTCCTCAGGCAGCCAACGACTCCAACAAGGAGGTGGGATGGGGATTCTCCCCACACAGCTGCGGGCCCATCACTTCTGCTGAGTTGTACTGTCGTGTAAGTTGCTGGAGCATCATGATTGCAGCAATGAACAGGAGAGCAGTGTCAGAGTGAAAAGGTGTCTTTTGTCATGTTCCTTTTATTTTTTATTTTTTTTGCCTTCTTCTCTCCAGCTCAGGAACAACGGGCCAAGTGCCGTCAGCAAAGTGATGCTAAATCTTCAGTGGCCTTACAAGTACAACAATAACACCCTTTTGTATATTGTCAACTATGAAATTGAAGGCCCCATGAACTGCACTTCTGATATGGAGATTAACCCACTAAAAATAAAGGTCAGTGGAAAGTCTCTTTAGACTGCCTGGATACTGAGCAACCCCTCTGTCCTACACAAACCCAAAGCGATAAGGTTTTATTATTACAATCGATTACGCTTTGTTCGTGGTTTTATTTATCTTGTTGTTTTATGTTCACCACCCAGAAGAGTGCTGTGCCCTAGTGGGGCGGTACAGAAGTTCCAGAAATAAAGAAATAATCAATATTTTGGTAGCAGTGATAAAGAATACCCATAATCATCAGCTGCAAAAAGGAAGAAATGCAGGCTTTTAAAATGGAATGTTGCCTTGCAGCTCTCTAAAACTGAGTTGATGAAGGAGCCCAACTTATGAGCAGTGACCCATCTGAGAAAATGGGGGGGGGCAACTTCCAAGTGCAGTTAGAAAGACAGATCCCAGGATCCTGGGTTGAAACATCACGGCTTAGTTGAAATCTGGTTCTAGAACACAACAAGAGTAGGCCCATTTGAATCAGTGGAACTTCTGAAGGAATGTACTCACCAGTTCCCTACTGTGTCTGTGGGCCTACTCTAGTTGTGACTTACTACCAGATTTTGGCCAGAGATTGGTAAAACAGTATAATTCCCAGAATCCCCTAGTCGATGTAGCAAAATTATTTTTGTATTTGTTTCTTTAAAAATTTGGAACTACTCTTTATCCATATAGATATAAGAGCTGTGTGCAAATAATAAGGATTGTAGAAAACTGACCAATAAATGTAAAAATGCAGCAGAGCAACTGTATAAGAAGCTCCTTTAGAGTGCTTTTTTCTACTAGTGCAGATTAGTTATTTTAAAGATTTCAGATGAATGAGTGATTTAAACAAGCTTCGTGTATCATTATCTGTGAACAACACTGTTCTTTCCAAAGATGGTTTGGGGTATTTTCTTTTTGTTTGTTTGTGTGTGTGCAAAGGCTGTGAGCATGTTTGAACTGTCATAACAGGAAAAATGCCTTCTTTTGATTAGTTGTTCCAAAGAGCATTTTCAGTGAATCATGATGGCAGTCTTGTCTCATGGAAGATAACCATGAGCTACAGTTAATCTAAAATCGAAGTGAATACTTCTGAAATGTTCCATACCCGTGATGTATGAATCTAAAGCTTGTTGAGGCTTATTTCCATCACAGGGACGCCTAATGTCTGTTTGAGTTTGCATGTTCCCAGACTTTTGGGGACCCGATGATCTCTCCCAAGCTCCCTTCTTTCCTTTTCATCCAATCACAAAACATTTCGAGCTACTTCAGGATGTTTGCCAGTAACGAAAGCTTTCTTAATGACACAGATGTCCACTCCACAACAAGATGAAAAGAATGAAACCGTTAACGGGGAAGAGAATCGCGATCATCATGTCAACCGAAGAGACCTTAGTGCTGCCGAGGGAGAAGTGCAAACTTTGGTAAAGGCTTCATGCTGTTTCACTTGCAAATAGTCACCCGCCCCTGTTGTCAGAACAGTGTCAGTTTTTTAGGAACTTACATTGGCTGGAATCTTATTAGTGTTCACATAAGGGTTGCATAACTTGCCGTGGCTAATTGTGGCTAATCGGTGAGGTGCCAGAGAACAGCTCACCTGTTCTCTGGCATCTCAAGTTGTCTCTTGATGACCAAGAAACAACTTGGTTCCTCATCAGTTAATTGGAATTAGCCGTGGCAAATGACACAGAGTTTACACAAACACCAATAGCATCCTGGCCGTTGTTTACCGGTATAGACGGGTTGGCCAATTTAACATGGATGGACAAGGAGACAATTTTGAGAAAAGAGGTGAAACAGTTGACGGTGGACAGGTGAGTGGACAGGTTTGTAGAATTTTTATCTCTTTGACTCTGTTCCTGTGTGTTTTGTAAAACTCCTGAGTCGCATTAAATGAATGTCTAAAAAGAAGAGTCCTCAAAGTCCTGAAATGAGCTATATAAAAATTATTTTGCAATAGGAATGTACGCTGATTTCCAGCCAGATCAGGGGTGTTAGTTTGATTTGGTGGCAACAATGGCATGGATAAAAAAACCCACCTCTGATCGCCCTTGAGGGTGGAGCCACACACCTGCAGTCCTTCACATTCCATCTGCCATTCATGGGCTAAAAGGTTTTAATCAAAAACTCAGCAATTTGAATGGTGGACGGAAAGGATCAAAGGTGTACACGTTATTGGGACACTGAGAGTCTGGTGGCAAAAGAGAGGAGAAAAAAAATGGCAGCTGAACCCCCAATAAAGATCTCCCTGGGTCACTCAACTCACTGAGGCACTGAGAAGGACTTAGAGAGAGGCAATTGTATGACATGTATCCCCTCACAGTTTCTCGGCCAGCTATTTTGTGGAGCTGCATTGGAGTTTGTCTTTCATTCCCCAGCTGGTCCTCCCTCCCTCCCTCCTCCATCTTCTCCTTTTAATTGTGGTTTTGAGGGCTATTTGACACTGAGGTTAGTATATATTGTTTGTTATGCACTATTTCTCCAACTTAAAACTTGTTAAGCCCTGGCCCCTGAGTTTTCTGGAGTGTTCCAGTTCTCCAGGGTGCTTGACTACTAATTCCTGAGACAAACAGCTGTAGGGGAAACACCACCAACTTAGAGCTACTGAGCTGGAAGGGACCCTCCAGAGATCATGGAGTCCAGCCCCTGTCAGGGAGGCCCAGTGGGGGTGGGGAATTGAACTCACAACCTCTGGCTCCACAGCCAGAGGCCTCAGCCACTGAGGTATCCAGCAGTTCTGATTTATCAAGTGCTACTAGTTTAAGTCAGACTGAGCATTAAAAGCCACTTCAGGGGTCTCTCATAGGGTGTTAACACATGTATAAATATTTTAAGCATGATTTTTATCTTAACATGCAACTTACATCAACCAGTAGCAACAAAATCTTAACACTGGAGAGCCCAAAATTACACGCAGCTTTCCTAATGTCCTTGTGGCCGCTGCGGCCTTCTCTTTTGTGGCTGCAATTTGAAATGCAACATGCCTGCCTGCAGCCACCTCAACATTTTTTTCCCCACAGTCAGGAGGCAAAGATGTTGCATTACCTCAGCCACAGCGGTGTAGAAGGTACTGGATCATGATAGCCCTAAGCAGGAGATGAGTTCATGCTGCATGCTTATTGCTTTCATGCTGCCTGCGACTTATGGTGTGGAAGCCACTACAACCGATGTGCTAGCTTGACAAATAACACCTTGTTCCCAGCATTTCCAGAAATAGGATAAAGTCGAGGACATAGGCGTTCTGAAAGAATGTGCCGACACCTTATCTTTGTCTTGGGCTTTCTCTCTCCTTTCGAGGGTGATGCCGCCTGGGTTCAGAAAGGGGCTTTAGTGTTGCCGGTGCCATGAAAGGGCAGGCACAGGAAAGATACACCTTGATTTCTTTCCCTTTCTCTATTCTGCTTGATCGCTCCATGCCTATCTTGGCTATTAATATCCTAGCTGGCTTTTAACTGAGAGCGGAACATGGGTAACCCAGTGTGCTTTCTAAATTTACTGTGCCACTTATCAAAACAGTTCTGTCCTAAGCTGAAATACTTCAGAAGCATGATTTAAGCTGCTTCTCTCCACTTTTTCCACTAGACGTGGGTGACTGTCAAACTTGGCCTTGATGAGTTTCTTATTTCTCTACTGCCAACCTCTTTCCATCTCACTTCCACATAAGCTTTTTATACAGTGCAAGAATGTGTATGCACTTTTGTGTGCCATTCTCTTATGTATACATTTTTATACTCATGCTTACAAGTGTGCTTATGTAGCTTTTAGAACAACCTGTGGTTTTTTTCACGTACTTTCAAAATACAGTGGTGCCTCGCATAGCGAGGTTAATCTGTTCCGGATTAACCTTCGCTATGCTGAAGCATCGTTGAACGGGACAGAAAAGCCCATTGGAACACATTAAACATGGTTTAATGCGTTCCAAATGGGCCAAATACTCACCGTTCAACGAAGCTTCGTAATGGCCGGCAGCCATTTTCGCGCCCTCGCCTGTTCAGAAAGGGGCTTTAGTGTTGCCGGTGCCATGAAAGGGCAGGCACAGGAAAGATACACCTTGATTTCTTTCCCTTTCTCTATTCTGCTTGATCGCTCCATGCCTATCTTGGCTATTAATATCCTAGCTGGCTTTTAACTGAGAGCGGAACATGGGTAACCCAGTGTGCTTTCTAAATTTACTGTGCCACTTATCAAAACAGTTCTGTCCTAAGCTGAAATACTTCAGAAGCATGATTTAAGCTGCTTCTCTCCACTTTTTCCACTAGACGTGGGTGACTGTCAAACTTGGCCTTGATGAGTTTCTTATTTCTCTACTGCCAACCTCTTTCCATCTCACTTCCACATAAGCTTTTTATACAGTGCAAGAATGTGTATGCACTTTTGTGTGCCATGCCATTATGTATACATTTTTATACTCATGCTTACAAGTGTGCTTATGTAGCTTTTAGAACAACCTGTGGTTTTCTTCACGTACTTTCAAAATATAGATGTCTTGTCAAATTACATCACCTTCCCACAAATAGCCTGGAAATGTATGAATTTCTAATAGCAGATTGTGCTGGTTCCATGTTTCATTGAGGACAATGCAAACTAGGTGAAACAAACAAAAATGGTGTAAATTTCTCCCTCTCTCTACATTCCATTCCACTTGGAGCAAGCACACATTTGTTAAAGTAGATGTCTCCTGTGGATAAGACCTAAAAGGTGAAGTGGGGATCAGGCCTATCTATGCCTTCTTGAGGTCAGAGAACGGCTCTGAAAGTCTGTTCTTTAACCAATTATTATTTATTAAAAATATTTATTACACTTTTCTCCTTAAAAAAGGACCCAAATTGGCAACATTAAATTAAAAAGGCAATAAAAAGCTGAAAACAGTAACTTACTCAAATATTTTAAAAGAATTAAATAAACATTAAAACGTTAGATAAAAGTGTTACTAAAACAGATGTAAAAGAAACAAAAAAATGCAATTATAGTGAAACAAAGCAAGGGCACAAACCCAGTCCCATGTCTTAGCTGCATCTAATTTGCTTGTCCCAAAATGGGAAAATTATTTGATTTTTGTTTCTCATTGTTTTAATAAATACCCTGCTGACAGATTAGGTAACTGTTGTGCAGCTAGAGAAATGTAATGCCTAAAAATGGTTTTGACACCTTTTCCTATGCTTTTCTAGCCCCTTCCATCAGTCCCAAACTTCAACACCTACTTTTTAATTCACATTTCACTCAATAACCCCAACCTCAATATTTGGTATGACTGTGGCTTTCCACACAAGTCATTAAAATTCCAATTCAGTATTTGCGGCACCTGTGTGGAAATGTGGTATGGCAACAGGAACACCAGCAACATGCCACAAAACATCTTATTTTGACCCCCTAAAAATGATTCGACGCACCTTTACAGATACACATTCAAAAATTAAGAACAGCGGCCTGGATTGTAAACCCCATTGACTTAAGGGGATTCTTTCTAGCTGGGACAGCCAGTTGGGTTCAGGCCAACAAAACCCACATGTAATATAGATTTATTTTGTTGCAGTATCATTCTAGCAGTTGTGACCAAACGAGGGGCTTAGGCATATCGTAAGAGTGAGCTTTGAGCCAGGAACCTCACTGGTTTAAGTCACACTTCAGCCATGAGTACAACCAGTGGCATTTAATGTGGGGACAACCAATATTTGTTTGTTGGTCATGTTTCACTTATTAAACTCACAGCCAGACTGGCTTAAATGGGGAACTAGAGTAGCGTCACGGACCTGAGGAAAAGATCCAGAAATAACATCAGTGTGGGTCATGTTACCAGTTGGGTCAAAAGATAACGGGAACAAGTGCTCAACTTTTTATCTCTAATTTATTTCCATCTCCCCCCTTTTAATCTTAGGGTTGTGGAACTGCAGAGTGCTTAAAGATATTCTGCCAAGTCGGCCGCCTGGAGAGGGGGAAGACTGCAATTCTCTATTTAAAATCACGCCTTTGGACTCAGACCTTCATGAATGTGAGTGACTTGTCATCGTTTGCGGTGTCTTGCCTCCTGAATTGTATCCATTCTGTTTTGACATTTCTTTCTCTTTTTTAAAAATTCTTATTCCCATCACAGAAAGAAAATCAGAACCATTCCTATTCTCTCAAGTCGTCTGCTTCTTTCAGTGTCATCGAATTCCCTTACAAGAACCTGACCTTTCCGGAAGACGTCCAGAATTCTACAATAGTAAGCTGTTTAATATTCAAAATTAGTTTGGCCCAGAGCAGAGTAATTGAGCTGCAGATTTAAGCTGAAAAGAGAATCATCAAAACGAAACACATCTCTGATTGGCTCCCAGTGTTTCTACCAGGCAGTATTAAATTGTTGCTTGTCGGGTTTATTCAATTTGATTGCACGCTGCTTAAGCTTTTAATTAAATTCTGGTCTTCAATTCCATGCTTTAGACAAGGTCTTCAGACTGCTGCACCACACTGAATACAGTTGCTTCCAAAGAACCAGTGCGACAACACAGAACGGTGTTGCTGTAGTACACAAATGCTTTTCTGTAGCCAAGCAAGTGTGGTCTAAAATCATATACAGCCTGATCCTCTCTGCATGTTTACTCAGAAGATGGTATGATTACACTCAGGGAAACTCACTCGCAGGTATATGCTCCCACCTTTGGAGTGGCAGACATATTAGTCCGCCATTGTAGTTCCATCAAAGACAGTAGGAGGGAACAGAAATCATGGTTCCTGGAGGGGGTGTCGGGTTGGCCCTCGGCCATGCAAATGGCTTGAACCATGCAATAGCCTTATGCAAATGGCCGACTGAAAGCCTTCCAGGTAAGCAGAGGATATTTCTGCTGTAGAAGGGGAGGATTTCCCTCCTACCTGCATCCCACTCCAAACACAGTTTCAGAGCATCTCTCAGCTCTTGGGAAGCAAATTTTGGGAAGAAGCAAAGGGACTGGAAGGGAAGAGGAACCCTAAGGATTGCCTCTCACCCGCTGCTTTCATCAGCAGAAGGTGTCCCACAACCAGCAATCTGCTCAGGGCTGCTCTTGGTGGCAGGAGCAAACGCAGGATCCAAGCCACGGTGGATACGGTATTGTCTTATACTGGCAAGGGCGGGAGGTCTATCTGATGTGGTATGCCAGGGTTAGAGTCATAGAATCATGGAGCTGGGAGTGGCCTAGAAGGCCACCAAGTCCAACCCCCTGCTCGGTGGAGGAATACCATCAAAGCAGGCCTGCCAGGTGATTATCTTAACTTTTTCTTGAATGCCTCCAGTATTGGAGCACTCACCACCTCCTGAGGTCATCGGTTCCATTGTTGTACTGCTCTAAAAATTAAGTTTTCCCTGGTTATTTAACCTGAATCTGGCTTCCTGTACCTTGAGGCCATTATTATGTTTGAGAACATAATCTGTATGACTATCTTTCAAGTATTTTTAAAGTGCTATCATTTCCCCCCTCGGTCCTCTTTTAGCTTTCACAGAACCGTTTGCAAGAGGCAAAAGTCACTGTATGATGACGAACATTGACGCCGTGTTCCGAATTCATCTTAATGAATCCTGAGGAAATGGCGGACTGACCATTATAATGTTCTGTCTTCTAGTGAGACAGCATCCTTCCATCTTACTTAGGACTGTGTTGTGTAAATACACACTGCAGTATTATTCAGAGGGTACGATATTGAACAAAGTAGAGTTTGCTTCTGAGAAAACAAGCATAGATTGCATCACATCAGGTGCCTATCAAACTACTGATTATCCCGAACCCGATAAAACCTTTATCATGGATCAAAGCTCATTCCTTCCTAAATAAAAACTGGGTCCTATTGTTAGGTCCTGTTTCTACATAGAGAGCTATTTCAATTCTACTATTTCTCCTGCCTTTTTTGCTCATTAAGTTCTCTACTTTGATTGCTTCTGATATTTTACAGTTTATGAATATAGCATGTATATGGGGTATCCAGTATATATGTAATATCTGGAATATGGAATGTTCAATTGCATTTTCAGAACCTCTTTTTCTTTTTTCTTTTTTCAACATGCTTATATAGTACCCAACTGGCAAAACCTTTGGGACAGGTTGGAAATATATATGAGTTATACAATGACAATTGTGCCCAACCTCTTATTTTGTCCAATTTTTACTCTGTCCTTTAGATAGGTGCATAATTCCGATGTTGCTGTTAATGGGCAGCAGCACGTTGCTCTGTTAGGAGCTTTGGAAACTTCCTCGCAGACCCTGGGAATCATGATGAGTAACCCTGATTTATGAGATTTCAGTAGGCATCCTCCATAGACCGTAAAGCATATCTTAACAAAGAAGGAGGATCTGATGACATCATGAAAAGGGCAGGACTTTAGGGGTGGGACATAGCCATTGACATCGGTCCTGTGGTACAACCCTGTTACTGAGACTGATAAAGTTCCCCAGCCAAGATTAAAAGCTTCCTCTGTTTCTTTGCTTGCTTGTTTGTTTGCTTGCTTGCTTGTTTGTTTTGCATGATTCTCAGAGGAATGAATTCTTAGACAGTGCCCATCTTTTCCTGGATCATTGCATACGTGCAACCAGGAAATCCCCCGTTTGTTACACAGGGGCCAGATTCTGAGCCGTGTTTGCTAAGGTTTGCACAACTTGCTGCAGCTCATCAGCGAAGTGCTCAGTTGGGTGCGTTATCAGGCATGCGAATGTGACATGCCCAGGCACCTCATCAATTTGCTGCAACCAGCTGCGACAACTTACACAAACGTTATGCGAACACCGGTAGGATTCTGGTCACTCTTTGTTTCAGGTAATCCCACCAATCTTTCATTGGATTCTGATGTGTTCCCAAAACATGCCACTGATTTTGTTCATCCTATAAAACATGTTGTTCTTATTAAATCCCTTTAGGTTACAACCAATATCTTGTGGGGCATTCAGCCAGCGCCCATGACGGTGCAAGTCTGGGTAATCGTACTAGCCGTCTTGGCTGGTTTATTACTTTTGGGCGTTCTTGTCTTTATAATGCATAAGGTAAGTGGAGAACGTGGTTCGTTTTCTTTAATCGCCGTACCGTCACAATATGAAATAATGCTCATTCTGCTGCAACTCTTATTTTGGAGAGAGCAAGCAGTTGTAATGGGAGATGGGTCTGCCACAACTCATCAAGCCTGTCGGGGAGATGCCTGTCTCCAACAAGTACAGTGGTGCCTCGCACAGCGAGGTTAATCTGTTCCGGATTAACCCTCGCTGTGTGAAAACATCGCTGTACGGATCAAAAAAAGCCATTGGAACGCATTAAACTTAGTTTAATGCGTTCCAATAGCAGCTTTACTCACCGTACAGCGATGTTTCTCCGATGGCCGGCAGCCATTTTCGCGCCCTCCCCTCGCTTAACGAGGGTGCGAAAACGCTGTGCGTGGCCATTTTGGGGCTTCCGGCAGCCATTTTGAAGCCGCCGAACAGCTGATCGCCGGGTCGCAAAGCGAAGGTCGGTAAGCGAACCGCTTACCGACCTTCGCTCTGCGATTTTGAGCCATAGGGGCCATCGGTGTGCGATCGCATTTGCGTTCGCTAGAATGGCCCCGTTGTGCGGATTCGTTGTTCTATGGTGCACTCGTTGTGCGAGGCACCACTGTACTTTTTCTGGGTTGACTTTAGTATAGAAGGTTTGAATGTTGCGATCTTGAGTGCACGCCTAGTTTAGGAGTGAACTTTGTCAAACTCTGTGCCGCTTATTGCAAGGAACCTGGGGGCTATGTGTATCCACCTGAGTGCCCCCCTCTCCCCCCCCTGGCCTCCAAGCCGTTACTGTTTTTTGCAAAAAAAAAAAAAAAAACCCAAACAAACAGGAGAAACTGCATCTCAAGGCAGTCCAGAGGGCATAATTCTCTTCTAAAAGAAGACATCATGCCTGATTCTCTGTTAAAACAAGAGATGCCCCCCTGGACCTTAATTTTAGCAAAGCAAGAGCCATGAAAACAAAAGCTCCACTCCCTTTTTCTGAAGGCAGGACAGGAAGTGGCCCAATGGCTCTCTGTGTGTGTTGGGACGGGGGACACAAATATGACCCGTTGTGTGTCCAGGGAAATGGATAACTCTGTGCCGCTTATTGCAAGGAACCTGGGGGCTATGTGTATCCACCTGAGTGCCCCCCTCTCCCCCCCCTGGCCTCCAAGCCGTTACTGTTTTTTGCAAAAAAAAAAAAAAAAACCCAAACAAACAGGAGAAACTGCATCTCAAGGCAGTCCAGAGGGCATAATTCTCTTCTAAAAGAAGACATCATGCCTGATTCTCTGTTAAAACAAGAGATGCCCCCCTGGACCTTAATTTTAGCAAAGCAAGAGCCATGAAAACAAAAGCTCCACTCCCTTTTTCTGAAGGCAGGACAGGAAGTGGCCCAATGGCTCTCTGTGTGTGTTGGGACGGGGGACACAAATATGACCCGTTGTGTGTCCAGGGAAATGGATCTTAGACGTTAAAAGCTGTCCAGTCCTGGTGGGAGCTGGTTTTAGTTTTCTTAAAAAAAAGATGTTTCAAGTTTTTATAGGCTGTTTTTCTGGAAAACCTCACAGAATGAAAATTTAAAAAAACAAAACTTTTTGTGCTAACATTTCCAAGGTGGTTGTGTTCTGACGTGTTACACTCCGTCACAGCTCCAAGGCCTATGGGCAGCTCTGTGTGCTGTACCTGGGGAGGACTTTGGCAGAGAGCAGAGCAAGATCTGTAAGGTCCATTTAGAAACTGTGTGTGAATCTTCCTGCATAATGACAATGGTGTGCGTGTGGGTGTCTAAGTAGCACCACTGGTACGGGACAAGGAATGCAACCAGTGATTTGTTAATGAATGACAAGTCACCACTATGATTTATGCCTTTGTGTTTATGCTGGCACAAATAACCAGTAAGATTCTGGCCAAGGTATTACATGTATATTATCTACAGATAGGTATCTGTAATACAAACATATATACATGTTTACATCTTCTTTCCTTCTCTTCCTCTTTCTGTATTATGCTACTGTTCTGAACAAGTAGGTTATTACCATGACCTAGAAATGCACAGGTGTTTGGATATGTGCTTGAAGGTATTGATGCAACATTGACCCAACCATCTTGACACTGAAGGTCACATTTTTCTATAAGTTGTGATAATACCCTAACCATCTGAACATCTCATTCATCAGTCAGGGTCTTAGTAAGCTCCTAGCAAACAGAGATTTGAAGATTCATATTTTTTTTAAC